ACTAATGAAGATAATTTTTCAAAACTGGGTAACTGTAGAGTTCTAGTTTAATAACAAAGAGATTCTCTAGAGTAAATACTTGACAATAACAGTAAGGTGCTCCCAAGAAAAGTGGGAAATAAATATGTCCTCAACCTGGATCAGAAGAGAGAAAGATTTCTTTTAAAAGAAATTAGTCTAAGTTCAGAAATAACTTCTTATATAACCCAACGGAAGACAAAGTTTGTGGAATGTGTCTGTTAAAAGCCTAGAAATACAAAGAAGCAGAGTCTTACAGGAAAATGAAGACAGTACCTATTTAAGCATTGTCCAGGAGAGGAGTCTTAGAATTACTACCCCATGGTAAGGCTATCTCTATGTGAAGATGAGTGAATCAAGCTATCTTAGCTTGATGCCACTGAATATTCAAATTATAAAACTTCTTTTGTTCTAATTCCTTGCTCACCAAGCAATCTTCTGATTATAATTTGGCTTCCCATGTGGATTGTCTACAGGGAAACAATGAGCTGGTCAAGCCAGCAGGAGTATCTAGATCTTCTGGCAGTTAGGTTTCGCACTGTAAATTAATAAATTGATATTCTCCAATGGATCAGTGTCCTGGGAGCCTGTTCCATTCAGCACTCCTTTGTCTAATCAACTCTAGTAGGATGACAAAACTGAGTTTCTGAATATGCAAAGGAAAGGCTCAAAGGAAAGGCTCAACACTGGCCAGTGCTAAGTTACTGAGGCAAAGGCTGCTAGACAGGGCTAGGTCTGCATCATCAGTCAGCCTTACCCAAGAAATATCTCAACTTCAGAGCATTTTTTCATTTTACATACTCTATTATGTGCACAGTTGTTTTTAACCCTGTTTTAATGCTAGTATCATCTGAAATTTAAAAAAAGATAAGCTGTTGAAATAAGGAGCGCCTTTGAGACATCAAGGATTGTGAAATTTTTCAAGGTGTATATGGACTATAAAAGTCTTAAATCTACCTATTTTAAGAAACGATCACACTAACAATCTTAACTTTGGCACTTCATGGCAAATATGGTTCTGATGAATGTTTATTCTGAAACTAGAATATACTGCGCCTACATTAAAACACCTTGCCCCTCAAATAAATAATTCTTACATTTTAAGAGTAACCTGTAACAAGTATGGTTGAGGGTGATGGAACATTCAGCTAATTTACCAGGCCTACCCCTAATCAAGCTCTTCCACAATCCTTGGTAACCCTGAAGAAGGTTCCACTCCTCATTTACTCTCCCTACCATTTTTCAGACCTGCCAAAAATGCTTCTGCTGTGAATTTTCAAATCTGGTATTTTGAGATGGTAACAGTGATTACCAAATGTATTAGAAGCAATCCTTGATTGGTTTAAACATCACCAATATGTTGAAGAATCTAATTTTGCCTGTCTTCTATTCTAAAAACAGATGAATTTGATGAACCACAACTATTTGACTGAATATAAATTTACTGCCCAGGCAAAGATTAGAAACTAGCACAGAAGTAGATTAAACTAAATTTGAGGCAGTGTCAAACTAGGATTTCCACACATTTTTAGAGGACTTATAGAATGAGAGGAAAAAAAGGAATCTAGTTTTGCTATTGAGGCGGAGCTGGCCCTTAAAATGGATATTAAGGTAAAGTAATATCTAATGATTCATTCTTATACTTTATAGGAACTCAATTCCAAGAGTAAGTATGCACTTTTAAAAAGGAGAGGCAGAGAAGCAAAGTGTTTAAAGTGTGTTAAATTATAAATGTGAACTATTGGTTTAAAAAGCTTAAAATAGAATTTTTTTTCACCCCCAGTAGTAGTAGGGATTGAACCCACTACTGAGCTACATCCCCAGTCATTTTATTTTTTATTTTGAGACAGTCTTGCTAAGTTGTCCAGGCTGGTCTTGAATTTGTAATCCTCCTGCCACAGTCTCCTGAGTGGCTGGGATTATAGGTGTGCACCACCTGGCCCAGCTGGAAAAATGTTTTTGAAAGGAGATTTTAAAACACTGCCTATTATACATTACCATTCATGGTCTATTAACATTGTTTATAACATTATTACAGTATAGGGGCTCCTTCAAGTTTTTCAGTAGTGTAGAAATAAATACCAGCAATAATTAAAGTAGCAAGTGTAAATTCAAGATAAAAATGACAACTCTGGGAGCCATAGAATACCCATAAAAACATCTATTCAATATATTGTTGCTACTTGAATGTGCAAAAAAGAATGTATAACATTTTAGATGGTACTTGGGACACTCAAAAAACACCCTATTCTATGCTGGTCCATCCTTTGGCCATTAATGTTGGAAGGATGTTGGGGCAGGCATGTATCACAGTTGAACAAATAAAGGAACAATGTCTAGCTTAATTAGCAAGGAAAGATAGTTTATCACCCTTATCTACTGTTGAAATACAGTAAAATACAAGAACAAAAATATCAGTTACCCATCAACTAGCTGTGTCGTATCACAAAACCAAACAACAATATGTCTGCTATCACAGATAAGTTCTGTTCTTGATTAGGCAAGATGAAATATTCATTTCAAATCCTGTTGTTAATGTATATAAAGATGAAAACCTCAAATTTAAAGCCAAAAAGGAGACTAGCAAACTGAAGCCCTGAGATTTAAAAAAATCAACCAATCTACAAATTGATATAAGATTCTTTTCAACTACCAAAAAAGGAAGCTGGCTAAAACCTAACAAGGACATAATATCTCCTGTGACTACACACAGGACTACTAAGGTAAAAGCACATCAGAAATCTAGCCACTTTTATGGCTGTTGAACCTTATAGAGAAATAATTAGCTTCATCTTTCTAATTCTGTATCTTGCTTTGGTTTTACTAGCTAGATTATGCAATTATTTACTAATGGTTATAAGAATCTTCTTCCTCTACCTTTTCCCAACTCAAGAACCTTCCAAGAAAGAAAGAAAATGGTTTATTAAATGCATTTAGATTGGGGCTGGGGTTGTAGCTCATTGGTAGAGTGCTTGCCTCGCAAGTGTTAAGTACTGGGTTCGTTCCTTAGTACCACATAAAAATAAATAAGTAAAATAAAGGTATTGTGTCTGTCTACAACTAAAAAAATTTTTTTTTAAATGCATTTAGGCTCTGTCTAATCCCCATTAAGAGGAAAAAGGAACTGAAGATTGGTGCCTGTTACATGCTGTATACCATGTTAAGTACTTTTCTAGATGCTTCCTTATTTAGTTAAGGTAAGTGCTAGCCAGGCGTGGTGGTACATGCCTGTAATCCCAGTGGCAGGAAGATCTCGAGTTCAAAGCCAGCCTCAGCATCTTAGCAAGGCCCTAAGCAAACTCAGGGAGACCCTGTCTCTAAATAAAATATAAAAAAGGAGCTGGGTGCAGTAGCGCATACCTGTAATCCCAGCAGCTGGGGAGGCTGAGGCAGGAGGATGGCAAGTTCAAAGCCAGCCTCAGCAACTAAAGGAGCCCTAAGCAACTCAATGAGACCCTGTCTCTGAATGAAATACAAAAAAGGACTGGGGATATAGCTCAGAGGTTAAGCACCCCTGGGTTCAATCCCCAGTAACATATTACTACACACACATATATATATACGTATATATAGAGAAAAAGGAACTGAACATTGGTGCCTATTACATGCTGAAAACCACATTAAACACTTTTCTAGATGCTTCCTTATTAGTTAAGGTAAGGGCTAGACAGGTGTAGTGGCACATGCCTATAATCCTAGAGCAGTAATATCAAGAGTTCAAAGCCAGCCTCAGTATCTTACCAATATCTTACACACACACACACACACACTTAAAATATATAAATATATAAATAAATAAAAGAGCTAGGGATGTGGCTTCCAGGCTTTAATCCCCAGTACCCCTGCTCCCCCAAAAAAGGTAAGTACTATTTTTATTTGTTAATGTCAAACCTAAAAATTCTCAATTTTAAAAGGCAAGCTTTGAGAGGCAGACAAGCAGAGTTTTCTAACTCATTACATATTAGACTGAAAGAAAGCACCAAGAAAGAACAACAGTGAACAGTGAGTTTATCCCAGATTTCTAATGCAGTACTCAATAGATAAACAGGAGTTCACCATAATAGTGAAGGACATCTTTTAAGGCTATAGGTTTTCTCAAAAAAATTGAATAACCAAAGAAGGACTCTAAACTATCCATGATGAATTATTCAAAAAGTCAACATTTAGGGTAAGGTAGCTGGACAGAAAAAAATAAAGTGTAAAAAATTTTAATTTGTTTAAATAGAATCTGATATGTGGAATATGCAGTGTTACCACCAACAATGCAATAGTGCAGCAAAGGTAAGGTGCTTTTATCGTAAAATGGGATCAAATGAAACTACAAAATGCCTGTCATAGGAGGCACTGTTCCCTACATGAATTTGTCTCGAGACTTTTAACCAGACAGGGCAAGGTTGTATTTATTGGAATTGCTGGTGGATCAGGAAGCACTTTATCACATAAACATGTGTTTCAAATAACTGATGTTTACTAAGACCAAAGCAAACCATTACAGAATGACAACAACAAAAAGGACCCATACCTTTTCACAATGCTTTCTTAATGATTAAGGTTTATTATGTATAGCCTTAGGACTATAGATCCATTTCAGTCTTTTCTCTACTTCCTATCAGCTCTGTGAATCACTATAGCTCTGAATATGCCTCTAAGTTCTCCAAAGAGCAAATGTATAGCTTTTGTGTTGGGCTGAATGACAACTATATGAGGTACCATGTGAGACACCCAGAGGCTTTTCCTCCATTTTCAGTTCATAATAAAACAGTTCTGTGCTTGAAAAACCTGAGGTTGTGGTATATTTGCCAGCATACTTTTTAGAAAACAACAACATCACTCATGCTCTATGTAACTTCTTACCAGGTATGATTTATTAGTAAACAATTCTAAGCTATTTAAAAACTTTCCATCTTTCTTATGTAGTATTAGAGCACCACCTTGTGTCAGAAATCTGACTAAATGAGCAGATATATCTATATTTTAGATACCTTAGTTGTCCAAAGTTTTACTGTCCAGTCAAATGATGAAGTGACAAAAAGATGTGAGAAGTCTACTGCTCCAACAGCTGCATGACAATGGATGCCAGTGATTGGTCCTTGATGTCCCTCAAACATCTCACTAATTCCAGCTTTGCTATTTCATAAAAGTAAAAATGTTAGGGATATCTTTTAAAGCAGTCCACTTATAAAAACATATTATGGTGGGTTTATATATCAGAGCTTGACTTAATTTCCACAAACTTAACTCTGTGCTCATAATGCATCAGAATAACTTACGTTGAGTGTTATCTATCCAGATTTGATAATACTACTAAAGGACTAAGTACATTTTGGAAGCATAAATACCATGCTGTTGACAAGAGAATTCAAAAGTACAATATCTGAGGTGGCAGAATTGAGACAAAGAAATATTATATGTAAGAGAGCCAATCTGGGCTACTTTTAAATCAAAAGCTTTGAAGTGAAGGTGATCTGTATTTGAGATAAAACCCAGACAATTTTTTTTAAGGAAGCAATTGATAAAGGTACAGCTAGACAATTTCAAAACAGATTGAATAGCGGGAAAAGTACTAGTCAATTTAAAATGTGTACGTGACATTACTGTATGATTATCAGGAGGATTGAACTAAAGCACAAAGTCCAAATAAATAAAAAAATAGGAAAACAGCTGAAAATCTTATTTATAAATTTGAAAGCCAGTATGTGGCATGTGCATATTGTATTTGTAATTGCTAAATTTCTTCCCTACCACTAACTTCTGTGAGTGCATGCACACACCACAATCCACAAAATCCAGAACACATCACGAATTAGAGATACTTTTTAAAAAGTTAACTTCTAAGTTTATATGCCTGAACTCAACCTGTCACAAATAATGAGTAGTTCTAGGACTAATTTCTACTCAAATAAGGGGCAACCTGTTTCAATGAGATTATTCAAGGGGGATTTTAAATAAGTGCAAATTCCAGTTCAGGTTTACCTGCCATGGCGGCATGCTGTGTACACAGAACCTTCTTCACTCCCAACAACAAAGTTGTTGACATCTCCAACAGGGAAAGACATAGATGTCACAGCTACTGCCTTTGACTGTTTGTGAACCAACTCCATGCTATCCTATATAGGGTGGAAAAAAGAAAAAAAAAAAAAAAGAAAAGACGTTATTTTGTAAACAGTCAATTTTAAATTTTCAAAGAAAAACTTCTAGTTTTAAATAATTTTAAGAGATATTTAATATATTACTTACATAAACCACAGTTAAAGCAATCATGTTTGAAAATAAAAGATATACACAGCACAGTACTTTTGACACATGCTTAGATTTATAATCTGTTATTATATTATGAAACACTATGAAAAACATATGCTGGGGTATATACACAGTTTAAAAATAATAACATACTTCAAAATTTCAGTTTCGCAAGTTTAACCTACCTGTGGGTGGGAAAGCATGTCCAGACTCCATGAACATATTTTTCCATCAGTGGAGATGCTGATCAGATTGTGAGCATTTTGTGTTCCAACGACATTTACACAATAGACAGGATGCTAAAAACATGAAAAGAAAGTTTTCATGGATTATTTTACTAAAAAAAGAAGCAAAAACTGAAGCTTAATCATAGGTACTCTGTTTCATATCAAAAACTGTAGGTTAATCACAGGTATTCTGTTGTAACTTGAGGTTATTTTTAATGTGAAGTTTGCTGCTGTTCTATTGATTAACAAAAGGTTGTCTCAGAAGAGACATAAGTTCCTGATAAACAGATCTCCCAAAATAAAGAAAAAAGACCTTCGTTCTTGGTTGCTATCTGAGAAGCAGTTCATACACCAAAGGAAGCACATTTTGAAACCACTCTGGTAGACATACACTACTACGTAGTTATAGTGAAAGAGCATAGAAGTCTAAGGAAAATAACCTTATTATACTTACTGTGTGTGCAGCAGCTGACAGTGGAGTTCTCTGCACTGGTGTTCTTTTATTGCTACGGTTATCCCAAAGCACAATTTGGCCTGAATATGTACCACCAACAACAAGATTTGGATGAAATTTTGCAAATGTAGCAGACATCACAGCTGACTGCAAGTAGGATTTTTATATTTCAGATTTAAAAGGAAAAAGTTTAATAAGTTATAAAATCAATTTATTATTCAAAATATTTCCATCTGCACTATAGGTATTAGTAGCTATTGAGACAAATTCATTAAAATATTTAGAATTTTTTTGCTTAAAAGTAAAATGTAATGCCTACTATGTAACTATATTTTAAAAGTAATTTATCAAAGAAAGTAAAAAGTTATTTCATTTGATTGCAGTATTAGATAAATGGCCTTGCAACTGACACATGACTGTAATATGACAGAGTGTATTAAGTGTTTATTTAGGATTATGACATTATTAAAAGATTTTAACTTATGCAACCAGAAAACACTTGCAAATTCTGTCTGTTAAATCCACTTAAAAAATCTGCAGCTGTTTCCTACTTGAACCATATGTTTCTACTTAAAACTATCTAGTTCCAATTCCTCAGGCCATGTATAAGTAATTCAGTGGGCAAACCATCTAATTGTATATTCAGTAAATAAGTTCCTGAGAAACTCCCTATAGAAATACGTTTTATAAAAGATTCCATATATATGATCAATCACAAGAACAGAAAATCATAACTGTAAAGGGCTTTCAGTGTGATTAAACATTATAAGACATGTCAGTAAAGCTACAAAAGCCAGATTATGTTGAACTGAGAAGTCAGTTTTCTGTTAACATCTGTTTGCAAACATAAAGTGGTTTAGTAAATGCCAATCCAATGAAATCATAATGTTGACAAGAACAGAAAAAAAGGCACCTGTCTAAATTCATTAATGAATCCTTAAACTTGTGGAAGACTGTTGAAAGACCATCTTACCTGGCAGTGGAACACATACTCTGGAGTAGTTTTTTTGTATTTCATATTCCATACAAGGGCAACACCATCAGGTTCATGAGGAGCATCTTCATTGTTATTATAGGAAGCCACAAGTAACTCGGGATACTGCTCGTCAGAACCAAGTAGAAAAGAAAGGGAATGCATAATAAGAACTATTTCTTGACTATCCGATTATTCTGAAAAGTACAAATATCTACCACTTCACCAATTAAGAAATCTCTTTCTTATTTGACTATCAGATAATTGTGAAAGTACAAATATCTAATACTTCTAAGAAAGACGTCTCTATATTTATATTAATTGGGATATCAGTACAATTTTATTTATTTTTTGTTTTAGAGATGGGGTTTTGTTAAATTGCCCAGGCTGGCATTGAACTTGTGAGTCCTCCTGCCTCAGCCTCCTGATTAGCTGGAATTACAGGCATGTGCCACTGTGCCTGGCATTAGTACAATTTTAAATTAGTACAGTTAATTATTTAAAATATTTTAATATTAAAAAATTTAATTGAAGTATGTGTTTGTATTTCATACAAAGTATTTTGTGAGTAACTGAAATCAGTAAAGCTAGGTTTTGGCATAAGGTTCTGAATTTCAAATATAAATAATATTTCCATTTCTTTCTTCCAAAGTACTTAAGATGAAATGAATATGGTAACACAGAACCATCATCCATTATTCAATTTTAAATGATACATACTGATTTAATCATACAAAGTTCCTATAACTAAAATAAAACCACATGCTAATTATAATTTAAAAAAACTTAATAATAACCAATTTTGTTATATTTTACCTGAGATGACCAATCCAAACAACTAACAACCCGATGCTTTGACCAACGTTCATCAAAAAATTGCCGGTTTAATGATAGTTTAGCACCTGCTTGAATCTCTCTACAGAAAAAACCAAATCCAAAAAAAGACTGTTATGACTTATGTCATTCTTAATCTTAAAATAATTTAACACTGCTGAAGCTGTTGTGTTATCAATTAAACATTACCCTTCTTTGTCTTCCAGATCTCTCCCACTATAGTCAAAGAAGATGTTAATCTGTTCAGAAAGAGCTCTTTCTACAATTCTTGTAGAATGGTCAAAGAAACTTAAAAATTCCTCTGAGTGTAAGATTTGTTGCTTTTCTTCTTCAGTCAGCTCATGAGGCGGAGCTGGAAAATGAATATTTTTTTTTAACTATAATTTATGTTAGTCAAATTATGTCAACTCAGTATAACAGGATTCAGGGAATGCCACACATTCTTTTTAAACATTCACCTCTTTTTATTTAGAGCATTTCATTCTATTTTAATTGCTTAATAAATAGTAAATCTTAAGAAGAATAAAAAAAAAATTTAAAGTTAAATTCTTTAAGTTACCTTTACTTTCATTTTCTTCATCTTTTTTTAAAACTTTCTCTTCTTCAGGTTCAATAGGTGGTTTAGGAGTCACTACATCATCATCTTCCTCTTCATCTAAAAAACAGAAAAAAACAAATATTATTTTCATGAAAATAGCTAGTAACTGTGAGGTAGTAATTTCCAAAGGTATCACAACTCCCTAGATAAAAGCAAAAGCAAACCACTGTGCCAAGAATAAGTACAAATAATATGAGCTTTCCCAACACAATCTTAAAGAATTAAGTGGAACCCTCTTGCCTTTTATACATACCTATGTGGTACCGCATCAACAGTCACACTAAATTCTATAGCTACATAAGCGGAAACAAGATATATAAGCATGTAGGACGAATTCCTCATGGAAGTCTCTAAAAGCTTGCAAGCATTTATCATTCCAGACAGAACAACATGCAACTCCTGCATAGTTTTATATAGCATGCTGACACATTAATGCTGTAGAATGAAGAAAATCAAATGTCTAAAATAGCCCACAGAGCTGGCTGCTTACTTGTGATCTAAAACCATCAGTGTCTAATGGGTCTTCATATGGCATAAAGACGGCTTACATTAACTCTCAGGTTGCTATTTGAGAGGCAGATTTTAAAGATAATAGCTACAGGACCACATTTTCTATTCTGTCATTTTAAATGCAAGTCTCATTATCCATCGTTGTATGATGTGGCAATAAGCACTTATAATAATGCTTTCTTTAGTTTTAATAAAAATACATATTAAGATATATGTTTCAAAGACTAAATTACCCAAATCTCACATTCCCAAACCAAGAAGTAACTTAAAATAATTTATTTAAAAATGTTACAGGACATGTAACCTTGTCTACCTTCTCTTTTGCAACAAACTGAGATAGGTTTTTTTATGAAGAAAATCCTTATTTTCATTACTAAGCATGTGTTATCTGTCTATAAAGGGAGACAGCAGACACCTGCAGCAGAATGTATCTCAAGTAATGAGAGCCTGTTCAACATAGGGACTTCACTTGTTATAGTCATTTCCTTGACCCATGTACAAAATCATCTAAAACACACATACATACAATGTGCACAAAAGAATGGTCAAGGATGGGAACCAGCTGCCAAGTCAAGGTCCCAGCAGCCAGGCCAGCTGACTAGATAGCAACAACCAGATGGCACTGCTGGGATTGTGTCTTTCTGCTATAAGGTGGCAATGGGATGGCATAACATTCTTACGCTTGACTGCCTCCAATCCTGTGTCTCTCCCCAATGGTGAGCCTGTGCAATTACCCGCACTCCAGGAGGCCTACAGACAAGCCTTTACCCTGCAAACAAAATGCAGCTTGTAGGCCACACCAGCTGCCAAACCACACACATAGTGTTAGGCTTAGAGAGCTATGAAAATCTTTCTAACTCTACAGTATAAGCAATAAAAATATAACTGTACCTGTGGAAAGAAAGCTTCAAATGACACTGTATAATGCACACAATGATACAACCTCCAACTTAATCAAAATGATAATGACGTATGCCAATCCTACATTACTTGAAATTGAGCGATTTTTACGTTCTGACAAGTTTACAGAACTAGGATAAATGGCAAGAATGATTTCAATATATGCTCATACTTTTGAACCAAATGGTGAAGGTTAAAATTTTTCCTTTCAAGGGCCTCAATCAGCCACAAAGGAAAACAGTAATCACTGTCTTTTCAGCCAGCCCAACCGCATTTGTCAGCCCTTTCTCCGTCAATGCAGCCAGAGCAATCAACCTGCCAAACATTCAGAATGGAAAAACAATCTGAAAATACAGGGTATAATGCACCTGCCAGTGAAAATGGCCATTTCAAGAAAAGCTAGTGATCTCAGTGACCCTGCTGAGGAGGCGGTGGTGCAAAGGGGAAAGAACACGTAAAAGAATTCTTAGTGATCGCCACTCTCTTGCACATTGACACTTCCTTACAAAGCATGCCAATTACAGCTTTTGTGCTACTTAAAAAAATGAAAGCTTTTTTTGGCAAAATAATCACATAGAGAAACAGAAAGACACTACTCCTTTTTAGATGAATTCTCATATATGACAGATTATTAATCTGAAAACAGTATAACTGCTGGGGATGCTATACTATACTGCTCAAACATTAGGATAAAATTCTGCCATAGTCATCTGCAGGTGTAATGTAATAAAATAATTTAATTACATTTAACTCAAAAGTTGACTTTTAGAAAAGGACATTTACTTCAATTAAATATTCAGTGTGAGAAAAAGTACATTATATATTTTATCTTCTGCTAATTCTGTTAGCTTTCCTAATCAATTTTGTTAACCAGTAGAGTTCTTTGGATATAAATCCTAAAATCAAGGAGAGATTTTGAGTTACTTGGACAGGTCATTCTTAAACACTGTGAATTAAGAGATTTTTGAGTTACCTGGACAGGTCATTCTTAAACACTGTGAATTATAAATTACAGCCTCCTACCCACATCTTATTCTCCTCCATCAACTTTGTTGACTTATCTGGCTTCTAAGTACCATTTCCAGTGACAGGTGTCAAATTCCTGTTATAATGCATATGGCCAGTATTTTAGTGCTAAGTGACCTCATAATCTACATATTTAACAAAAAAGGTCTTGTTTACAGACATTCTTTTCCTTTTAGTATTTAAAATGTAGATGAAGTTTGTTAGTGATCTGCATCTGCCTGTTTACAGCAATTGCCATGGGCCACGTGTCCTATAATTATTTTAGTTGTAGTTAAATGAGTATCAACTATTTAAATATATGGTTTCAGATTTTTACTTTAGAATCAATGTATATACTTCCCCTTCTATGTGGATTAAAAGTGAATTCAGAAATTATAATTGGGACTTAAACTCAAGCTTTACTAAAATGATTAAGCTAAATAAATTTCCAGGAAAATAAAAACAGGTATGCTGTTCTGAAAAATTTCAAAATGTCACACTTTTTGTCTAAGCTGAGCTTAAGCAATTATCAACATATATCAAAAACATCTAGCAAAAATGCCTAACTTCGATAACATCAGATTGAAGAATGTTCCTTTGAAACAAGGAACATTCTTATCATAAACTAATAAATAGTGACTAAAAGACTATTAACATGGCCAAAAAGTATAGTATTATAGTTCTAAAGATTTTCTTAGCTAGTCTCTTTTACATGATAAACTATAATATATTAAAACTGGAAAAGACTAACAGAGCAAGAAGACTGAAAAATAGGACTGCTATGGCACATCAATTTACTGATGAATATTCATTACAATATGCTAAGTGGTTAACTCCATGCTTTCTCTGACAGGGAACTAAGGTTACAAACTGAGCAGTAAAGAGTGCAGAAAAGTAGCAGTTACTTTTGAAATGACAAATCTCTTGTCAATGAATTCTACAACGAGGCTTAATGAACCAGTGAATTTTTACTTTGAGTTAATATCAAAATTGTGATGTATTTTGGTAAGATGGAAGGAAAAGCTGTTCTGTAAATTAAGCTGCACCTAGAAATAATACCAACCAGTGAAATCCCAGTTGTTGGAATAATCTGTTACAATGGAATAGGTTAATCAAAGTTAAATCATCTATGAAATGGGTGGCTTTTGTTAAAGTGAAGGACGGAGTCTTTGAACAAGTTTTCTCTATATGTCATATTACATTTAAGATAAAATAAGCCATAAACATACTTTTAGTAGTTAAAAACATTATAGCATATTAAAAACGAAATATGTAAGATTAAAAAAAATCCTTAACAAACATGCTAGTTATGAATATATATTCATAACTTATGATTCTTAATATGAAGTAAAAAACAAAGTGCATTGTTGTTTAAGAAATACATTTGCTCTCAATTCACTATGTAGTCTTATTATACTGACATATACTTTTCAGATAATTTAATATCTTATACAGAATTCTTAACTTACAAAATAGTTTGATTATTCATGGTACAAAGAAATTTGATAATCAGTTCTAAAAATTGGGAAATTTGTTGCTTATAAAAATTGATTCACTCTACTGTTATGTATAACTAAAAAGAATAAAAATAAATTTAAAAAATTGATTCAATTGAAAAAATTCAATTTAAAACTTTGCAAACATTTATAAGAACACAAGAGGAAATGCTTCAATTATTAGTTCAAAATATAGGCTATATAGGAATATTTTTTCCTTTTTTATTTTCAGAATAATCTTTTTCTTTGATCAACATAATTTTGAATTACTCAATTTCAATCCATTTTTCCATAATTTCATCTTCTTATACCATAAAAATAACATTCACATTTAAGAGAATCTTCATTGGAACAAAGCTTCATCAATCCTTCTATGGAATCTACTCCTTATTTTAAACATCTAGAATAAGATATAAGGTCACTTGTTATTTCCTTAATAATCTAAATTTTCAACTGGGGAAAAATATATGGCTGGCTTTTTAATGAGGAAGTATTTTGAATACAGATACAATGCTAATCTGGGGAAAAATAAGGAGTAGTAGTTTATACCACTTTATTTTAATATGGATTCTCTACGTAACATTTTTTAAATGTAAAATTTGGATTTTATTGTGGAAGTATTGGCATGACAGATTCTGTTATCTGTGATCCCATCAAATATTACATTTTTCTAAGGCTATAATTATAAACATCCCATTAAAGTCTTTCAATCCAAGATTAAGAACAGATGCCACAATTTTATTATATTCTTACAGAAGGTTCAAACTAATTTATTAAGTATATTATTTCAGAATTTTTATTTAAAAAATCCCTTTTAAATAAAGGCAATACCATCTTAACCAGAAGGCCTACAAATTTGACCTATTTGGGAAATATGAATTCCAGGTATTAAGACCATTTAACAAAATAGTAAGAGTTATTGATATATAATAACTTTATATATATCACAAATACTAATCAACAGCTATTGAGGCAAAGTATATCTAGCCATCAAGCCAATACCAATAGTAAGAAAGTGGAATGAAACAACAAAACATGACATTTCGGGCTGGAGTTGTGGCTCAGTGGTAGAGTGCTCGCTTAGCACATGCAAGGCTCTGGGTTCGATCCTCAGCACCACATACAATAAAGAAAATAAAAGTATTG